AGGTGAACATGTTAGGATCAAGAATGATACTAAGAGAGGGGGTGAATTACTGTAGCGGATAAAAATCACGTCGAGTCAAAAATCTTCTTACGATGAAAAACTATTTCGGAAAGATGTTAACTTATAAGCATATTTGTGAGAGAGGATGAAGGAGGCCAACTGTCATCCTCTCTAGTGATGATCTACATGGCAAGGGCTGCGACAACGCTCCTCAAATCACTACACAATCCTCCTCGAATCATTACCCAAATCTCCAAACACCCCTGTTGGCTAAGGAGGAGAAGGAGAGAGGAGAATAGGATGTGGTAGTCAAAAAGGCTAAGCCTATGGCCCTTTGGTTCCCTCTTATTTATAGAGGCTTATTATCAGCTTAACCATAATGGATCCTGCCCTATTAGGTATTGTATCTTCATCCAACTATCAAAGGTTCTTAGATTAGTGAATCTCTATCCAATAATCTCTTATTGGCTTTTATTGGATTTCATCTATATGATCCAATCAATCAGGGGCCTATTGAATATCTAATAAGATAGAGGTTCTAACAGATATCTCATATTTGAACATTTACTCATCGTAATACCTATCATATGTGTGTGACCCTCTAGGCCCAATATCGAGCTGATCGTGAGTCATACCTTTTAGAACTCATTCTAGCTTAGTAAATTATTATCTTCATAATAATTCACTCGACTCATCGACTATGGATGTACTAAGCCACTACATCGCAGTCCTCAGACGATATAAGAGAATTCAATCCTTTGGACCTATCTATCCTTAATTATCATGTATATATAGTCCATTATCTATTTAATATCCCAGAGACCGTATAACAGGTATGGTGCTATCAGGTCTATACGATTTTTACTCGAGTCTCGCTCTAGAGAGGGGTATTTATAGGCCTCAAGTGGATTCAAACTTAGAGCCTAAAAATATCTCATCCCTGATTTTTGGGGTACTAGCGATACCACCGCTTGTACTGGGCGATACCATAGCCTACAGCTCTAACATTGGGCGGTACCACCACCCAATCTAATGGTACCATCACTTGACACCCTATCACTAGGCGGTACCACCGCTTGATAGTCTCTCAAAGACTGAGTCTGGGCAATACCACCGCCTGACATAATCTCGAAGATTGTGTCACCGACGGTTCCACCTATTGGGTCACTGTTTGGGTCTTTCACTTGGCCTAACACAGCCTAAACTTGGGCCCAATTGACCCCTAATTTAGTTGGTCCAATTCTAACCTAATTACGCCTAAAACCTACTTCGATCTAGATAATTATTATAAAGCTAAATCAAATGTTGTCCGGTATGTTATTGGTTCATCAACGCCTCATTGATTCTTCAGCGCATCATTCTCTCTTGCGGCCTATTACCCAATCGGCTAGTTGACCTCTACAACTCCAATTTTCTTAGCATAATTTTCGCTTTTCTTGGCCCGATACCCATTCTCATGGCCCGAGGCCTTCTATCAATACGTCGACCGATCCTCTGGCTTGACGTCAAATCTTCTGACATGTTCCACTCCGGCCTAACATGATTCTTCCTACTTTTAATTATCTCTCCCTGATCGAAGCTTCCTACATCACTCAAAGCGCAGATCAGATAAACACTATCAATTGGTTTCATCATCAAAATCTAAGATTCAATAGAACATTCCTATGACATTAGGCCCTCATTCTAGTGCCAAAATATTAGGAGAAAATATCGTTAACGTCTTAGTCAGGTCGACATAGTCCAAACCCATGTATGCAAGAATGTTCGAGATGTCTTCGATATAGAAATACCACCCTCCCGATATGAAAATACTATGTTCCCAAGGTGTCACCTTAAAAAAGGTTGAGGTTGGGCGGAGTTTCCTAATCCGGTTTCTTCGACACTCACGTTAGTAATTTGAGATCTCAAAACGTGGGTTTAAGTAGCTTAAAAAAAAGTCTCTTGTATTAGGTTTAATATATTTTTTTTATAGCTTAGATGATGAGAAGAGAGTTTGTAATGTTTTTATAGCTTAAGGATACAAAGGAAGCTTGTAATAGAAAAAAAGCATTTATTTCCTTGTTTTGAATCTTTGTCCAAGTACGCATTTGGTTGGAGGGTGACATGGGTTTGAGAAGCAAGTGTAAGTTGATAGTAGATTATATATATATATATATATATATATATATATATATATATATATATATATATATATATATATATATATATATATATATATATATATATATATATATATATATATATATATATATAGACATATATATATATAATTTTTTTTATATTTGTATATA